GGGAGGGCTGATCTGATTCTGTTCTCATTTTCCCCATGTTTAATATAATGATACGCTTAATTGGTTCAATCAAACTGTGTTCAGCGCTAATTAAATGCTCAGATGACAGGGCAAAGAATCTCTCAACACAAATCCTAATAATCGGTTAAGTAATTACCCAGAGGCACTCACACACACACACAACACACACACACACACACACACACATTAAGCGAATGAGAGAATGAGCAAAGCATTTACTGGCTGACAAAAGTTTTACGTGGCAAATGGTATAGGGTAGGTGGTGCTGGGATACAGATACGGATACGGATACTGGATCAGAATGCCACTGGGGAAGGGGTTAGGAGGGGTATTACACAGGCGTTGTATTTAAGTACTTAACGTTGTTTTTGTTAATGAGCTGCGAAATAATTCATAAAATAACAAAATCTCACCACACAATCTTATTCTCATTCTCGATCGCATTTTCAGTCTTGTTCCCCGAAGATACTGAAAATACGAGACCATTTGTAGCCTATTTACTCGTAAATAAAACGATTCTAGGAGGTTTGCTCAAACGGCTGAGCCTGAAGTCAGAATACCCTACCCAGTATACCCATACTGAGTCAGTATATTCATTTTTCAGCTCATCATTTATGTAGAATTTAAAAAATTTTACATTTTACATTATTTTGCTTCATCTGTTATCTAAATCTACTATGTATATTCTACATATACATGTATTTTCTACATATAACATGTATATTATACATGTACCATTTAGATGCTACATCTTCTCCGCTAGCGGCGCTCGCGTACATAACGTGCCTCGTGCCCCGCGAGTGTGCGAGCGAGAAAGAGAATGAGTAGCGGGTCTCTTGCTGGAGGAGGTGGGGGAAGCAACTGAAAATTAATTTCTTTATCCTGGCTATAAAATTGATCCAATCTGATTAAGATTCGGCCATCTGGTAGATATGGGCATTCTCTATCTTTAAAATTGTGGCCGCCACAGATTTTCGTCATTTGTGAAGGCGGAAGGGGGCGGGCAAAATTTTTAAATACACTTGTAGCAGTGTGATATCACATGAGTCTGGAAACCAAATTTGATTGCCCTAGCTCTTATAGTATCTGAGATCTAGGCGCTCAACAAGACGGACGGACAGACAGACATGGCTATATCAACTCAGCTATTGATGCTGATCAAAAATATATATACTTTATGGGGTCGAAAACGTTTCCTTCTCTGCGTTGCACACATCCAATTTTACCGCAAATACAATATACCCCTTAACTCTTTTCTGAGTACGGGTATAAAAAGAGAGGAACCACGACCGCTTGTTATGTTCTTGCCCTCCGTTTATCACTTCTCCACCTAAAGAACTACTCGATTGCCATTTTTTAAATGTTTAATCGCACACCAACACCAGACCTTGTATTTCGCTCACCTCCCCCAGAGGACACGCACTGATCAAGGAAGAGTGTGTGAGAAAGAGAGAGAACGAGTAAGACACTTCAAACTAATCAGAAAACTAATATATATATCGCTGAACTCTTCGGTTACCAGATATAATTACTATTGTATTGTCTGCAGTGCTAAGAAATGCGAATTTGACAGTACAACTATCGGTGCTGGCTCTGCGTTTATTTCAATATTTAATATTTAAACAAGCATAAAACACCAACTGAATCCGTGTGGAAATTATTAGCTTACTTGACCAGTCTACAGCTACAGCTAAGAACATTCATTTTTCCACCAAATAAAACAAATTTCTGTCGCAATTATCGTCTTGAGTAGAGTAGAGAAAAAGTGAGCACATATTTAGAATAAATTCAAAAATGAAATTAGCTTGATGCCAATGAAACAAATTTAAATGGTATCCTGGCATGCGTTTGTGTGTGTGTGTGCTACATATAAAAAAGTCACTCCAACATGCTGGTGAAGGAAGATGCGGGAAGGGCGGGCGGTAGAGCTGACAAAGCACACTGACAAACATTTCGGAACGAAGCATTTATTTATACTTACCAATTGTAAATGGAAAATGTAATTTTGTTGAAAGCACGAAATGTGTGCCACAGACCCACACACAAAAGCGACATATACATACACACATACATACATATACGGGCGCGGATGGACACAAACGGCAATCAATTGCATTACGGGTACGTACTCATTCGTGGGGGAAGTGCCCCCAATTGTATGCTATGCATTTTTGCATGTCAATATGCTTAGCTATGCATCCTGCTTTGGGTTTGACCTGCGCTCCCCTCCCCCCGTCACATGTTCATTGATTCGAAAGCAATTAAATTACGAAAACACTTCACACACACAGACGAACACAAGCTCTGTCATGCAAGTTTGATAATAATACAATAATTGCACTTTCAGTTGTCACTGTCACTGTCACCTGCTTGTGGCGAGCGTGTGGGCGTGTGGGAAGAAATCGGTGAAGGCTTTGAATTGCGTACGTTCGAGTATGTGTACATATGTATATTCTCATACTAGATTTCACAATGGACCACAGCACTTTGTTGCCCTTTCTCTGCTCTTTTGCCTTTTTACACAAACAGCCATCATCGGTCGCATCAATATCAAACATCCTCCTCGTTATGGGATCAGCAACCCCAAGCGAAACGCTTACACGTTAAATGCCCGCCAGGCAAATGCAACACTCTGCTGGATGCAGCCTGCCTGCCTGCCTGCCTGCTTGCCCATTCGATTGGATACGCCAAAAGAAGGAGCTGGCTGTCCATTTGTCAGCCTTTCATTTTGATCTATTTCTTGCAACACTTCTGTGTTCGATTTTCTGTGTTCGGAGAGCTTATTGAGGCAACATCCCTTGCCAGCTTTGTGTTTTTCTCCAATTTCTCCTAGTCTCCATCTTATTCTGCTGATGATACGAGTATGTACACATTACACATTTCGCTTTTGTAGCTTATGCTCCACATGACACTACGCTACAGAGACAGAAGTACAGAGTACTATGGGTAAATATGGGTCCACCATATTTAATTTCTGTTCCGTGAACTACGAGTGAGCGATCCCTATTCAGATAGACTCGTACGTACGAGCAGGTGCGTTTCATTTGATAAGCTGGCTTAGGCCTCTTTGATAATTGTAAGTCTTCCGAGCTCATTGGCAAGTAAGTTCATATGTACGTATATACTTTGCCATTCAGAACATCTATTCAATCGAAATATTCATCATTGCCACTGCGAAAAACTTCATAAACGAATTCAGTTGTGTACGTCCGTAGCTGCAGCATGAGTCCCGCGAGGGTCATCGAAAAACGGTTGTTGTACCAGCAAAACTGGATGCTGCATTGGGGTATTGGCTATTGCAATATCGTCGTATGACGTACCATGGGATAGAGGCATGTTTTGGCATAACAGGACACAGAATTTATTATTGCATGAACAGTTGGACGTCAAGAATTTGTCTCGTGAAATACAGCATAATATGACATTCGCTCTCAATGTCAGTGTCAATTTTAAATGTTATTTGATTGGTCCGCCTACATATCACTTCATTGTTCTATATTTATTTATTTGTATACCCGTACTCAGAAAAGAGCTAAGGGGTATATTGTATTTGTGGTAAAAGTGGATGTGTGCAACGCAGAGAAGGAAACGTTTTCGACCCCATAAAGTATATATATTCTTGATCAGCATCAATAGCTGAGTTCATATAGCCATGTCTGTCTGTCCGTCCGTCTTGTTGAGCGCCTAGATCTCAGATACTATAAGAGCTAGGGCAACAAAATTTTGTTTCCAGACTCATGTGATTATCACACTGCTAAAAACTTATTTCAAATTTCGGGTATAAGTAGAGTCGCGTCCCCAGAAGCGACTCACACGTTCCTTCTCGTTTTTTTATATATTTACCGTCGAGCGAGAGCAAAGCTAAGAGAGATCGCAGGGATGTCCCCTCCTTCTCCCCCATTAGCAAACAAATCATTTCCTTCCTTTTACAAAGAGCGATGCTAAACGACAGAAAGAATGGAGCGGTCATCGGCTGCGATCCCAGCTCAGGCGCTTACAAAGAAGTACGGATAAAAGATATAGAACACCAGGTATAAAAGTAGGTCCGCGGCTTTTGCCACGCCACACACCGTTCCCGCTCACTTTAATACTGTTTTCATCTTGGAAGCTCTGGGGTAGCTGGGGCCAAGAGTTAGGTAAGAGGTGGACAGGTAATATGAATATAAGGGTTAGGACAGAATTAAGAATGCAACAGAGCTTAGATGAGACAGACTATGTACCTAATCGTCTTATTTATGTTACGGTAATATGACGAGATAATGGGGTCTGTTACGATTAGGCTGGATAAGCCCAGAATCGCTTAGAAGAAAATGCTGTGAAATATTTGGACATATTAGTTGGGAGAAGGATGAGTAAATTCGTTAAATAAAGACTTGGCTAACTGCGTTTAGGCTATGCCAGTCTTCAGACTGCTCGTACGTAAGTAGCAGGCTGTTATTGCGATCTTGGAATTTCTGCATGGATATTTCCTTAATAGCATTAGTACTGGAAGAGATGATCAATCTCCGTCGTTTCGTTTGTCTGTCTGAACCTATCGATGATATTCGCTCACTTTTACCGCTATGTGGGTGAAATATAGTTCGAAAAGCCTTCCAGCTGAACTCACGAGACGCACGTACGACATACTATACGATCTATCTGCAGGATCTGTGTCAGGTACTTCGCTTCCGTGGGAAGATTTCTGTTCCTCGTTGTTGGTAGACATTAGGCATAATGTTAGCTACTATTAGTTATTTTCGATTTTTTAACGATGAATGGATTCACGCTCACTTCGGCGAGCTTGAGCTAATTGGGGGTGTGGTATGGACTCTACCTAAGCTAGAGGCATTCCAAGCAATATTCAACTTACTGTGAAGGGCTCTGGAAAAGCACTTCATATAACTTTCATTTTGAGGCAGTGTGATATCCGTTTTGGGAGTTGCTCCCTGGACGATGCCCTTGAAATTTCGAAACCCATCCCCATCCCAACCGGCACTTACCGTTCGCGTAGGCGCCATAGTCAATGTTTTTGTCTGGTATCGAATGGCGGGACTGAACGCTGGCATCCGCTGCATCTTGGATGTCCTGGTCGAGCTGCATCAGACCGTGCACGGGCTCGGCTTTCGTCACGGAAATAACATCATTTCCGGCTGCCTCGGCGGGCAGGGCCAGAGCCAGAGCCATAGTCAGCACCAGCGCTAGAACCAGCGGCAGGAGGTGCGGCAGCCTGCGCTGGTGCTCGAGCTGGCATCGGCCAGATAGGGCGAGCATTGTCTTGAAGCGGTGCTGATGGTGGTGACGGAGGTTCATGACCGCCATGGCCATGGTCGACTGCGACTGCGACTGCCGGATCACTGCAAATGGCACGCACGGAACTTGGAGCACGGAACGCGAACCGGACGCACGAAAAATGGGCACCCGGCAAAATTAACTCGCCTGTTGTTTCACTTATGGGTTACTGTACTCAGTTTGGGGCGACTCCCCAGGAAAATAAGCGGTGGTCGCCACACCACAAGAACAACAAAAACAAAAACAACAACAAAAACAAAAATACCACACACACTGACTCAGGGCCCGCTGCAGGATGGAGGATAATAAACCTGACTTGAGTTGTCGACGGTTCGTTCCTGTGTTCTGGCTGCTGTTAGGGACACGCGTTTCCCACGCCGGCCACGGGGACTTGGCCACCGAGGATTCTGTTCTGAACTGAGCGGTAGGCAGGAAGCGTGCGACCTGGCCAACGAGCGAAGCGCAATTGAGCCAGTCAAGTCCTCAGCCAGCACTCATATAGCCCCCGAAGCCGAACTTCTGTTTTGGTGAATGGACGTCTGCCTCGGCTGACGCCTGCGCCTGAAACAGCCAACGATGAAGGATGAAGCATGAAGGAGCTTGAGCTCCCCGCAGCAGGGCAGGAGGGTAGGGGGGTAGGAGGGCAGGAGGGCAGGAGGGTAGGTGCCAGCAGCAGGCAGTGTGTGGCAGAAGTCAGTTGCAGTTCATTTGCTCGGCTACGTGATGAGAGTTTCGGCTTCGCTTCGCTTCGGAAGGCGGGAAGTGGGATAATGGATAATGGCTGATGGGCAATTTGAAATCGGATTTGCAAGCGCCGTAGGAGCTCCTGGCTCTATGTAGTTTTGATGGACTGTTTTACGGGCAGTGCACTATGGGAAATTTTACCACTTACCACCACTGGCTATAATTAATAACTTCCAAGCGAAACAATATTTGTTGGTTTAGTTTTCTGTTGTGCGTTTATAATATGAGTTTTTTTTATAAAAAATAACATTTTTATTTTTTGGCTCAAAATGTAAAACAACAAACATTTTGGGAACACGTTGAGAACATCTTATTTTATTCAAGAGGGCGTCGCACGCCTTAAAAACAATTAAAAATAAGCAAAAATTATTATTTGTGGTAGCTTTTTGACAACAATTTTAATCAGGAGACCTGAAATATGAAAGAATTAGAATTTTATTGTAAATAATAGGTTTTCTAATCCCCATGGTGTTCGTTTTCGAGCTCCATCATCCTCGAGAATTCGAGTTGGTCTTCAGCCAGCTCATCGAAACTAATCCGCTACGGTGGATCTCTGCCTGAACGATTGAACTCGCTTGATAGAAGATCGAACACCTCAGTTGAAAGGGGCTATTTTTTGCATTTGTATGCTGCTTTCAGGGTTAACAGATGAGATAGTAGGATCTGAAGTATCCATTTCCCTGTGGAACACTCAGACTTTTAAATCTTATTTCGACACTTGGCACTCTCTTCTGCAAAATATCCCACAGGAATGGTCTTGTTTTTTTTTTTCGGTTGAATGCACTATGATTTTGTGAACTGTCGCAGTGATTGACAAGCAAGGATATCGTTCAATATCACTACTCCACAAAATCTAACTTTTTTTTGGTATTTTTTGAAATGCTTTTTTCAGAGGTAGCTCTTTTATATTGCACATTACTTAAGTATCTTTAGTTTAGTTGTAATGAACTTTGACATTCTGAAAAGCTGATAAATGCATCTATAAAGTAGATCGAGGTACCTTTTAGCTTCAGCTTACCGTCTGGGAAATATTAAGCTTTCAAAGGCAAAATTTATCACTTTTGCTCAGTACTTTTTTCAAAATTTTGACTTTAAACACTGAAGAAAAGTAAAAAAAAAAGTTTACCCCTTGTTATTATATTTTTTGTGTGTATATGCATCAATTAGGCGTCGTTTAAAGTATTGTTCATCAAAATCTATGTAGAAATGACTCAGCTGAAATTGGTGGACCAACCCTCCAAAATCCCATTTTACCGTTTAAAACGTTGCTTCAGTCCTTATGTTTTTGTTTACGAATCAATATTGCATAGAACACGCACACATGCGCATATTAACATGATATACATTTGAACACAAATTGAATTTTCTACAAGATGCATTAAGTCATATGGTTCCACGAGTGGACTGAGTCCAATTTTTACAGTTAAAACTCACAAACACATTTTAGATGAACCTATTGTAAAAAATGCACTTTATTGGACGAATTTACAACTTTTTAGCCCTTTTTACAAGATGAAAAAATAACTTTTTGCACCAACATACGCATATCGATAGAAAACAGCTGACTTTAACAGCTGTTAACTGTGCCGCGCAATGTTAACTTTTTTTGTTGCATAACCTTAAGGATCAATGTTATTCGGATATATGAGGGCTACAAATATATTTTTTTAACTACTTCTGAAAAATGGTTTTTGGCCAGAAAAAGTGGTCAAATTTCCCATAGTGCAGTGCTGCCAGAAAGACTGCAAGGCAAAGGAGAATTGAAAATGATAGGAAAAACTCTCTTAAGTTTATGTATACTCGTACTCGTGTGTACGTACTACTCTACTACTCTTGTTGATCATCAACAGTTGGGTAGTGTGAAACGACTTTGGACTACTATATGGAGTGAGATTAAAACTAGGATATACGTGTTAAGATGCTAGCATTGATTTGAAGATACAGGATACAGGAAGAAATACCGGATGTAAAAAGGAACACAGGTGTACAAATTTTACGATAGCAGATAAGGTTATTGCAACAATGCAAAAAGCTTCAGGGATTATATTTCAGGTTATACGTAAGCTATGGCAAAGTTGGATAGTTTGTCATGGGATAGAAGCCTAAAAGAAGTGCGAATCGGTCTGGAAGAAATATTAAAGTTAAGGAACAATTAAAGTGAACAATCTTTATGCATGTGGAATTTATCCGTGTTAATGGATGTATTCTGGTTATTTTAATGGATATCCCCACTGCTACATTTTCGCTTGAATATCACAAATTGGTACCAATTGCAGCCACTGCCACTGCTGCCCTTCCACTTCCCCTTCCTTTATTCTAGCTATCTGTTGGCTGTTCATCCGATGTGGAATTTGCATCGCAATGTCATTTCGACATTTCGGCATTTCGGCATTTAGTGGCCTCTACTCTCCTTCCACTCACTGCACTCCGAGCTGCTCTCCCTCCACTCTCTCTGCATGGTCCATCTGTATTCCGTTCTCACTCTCTCTCTCTCTCCCTCTTAATTAAAACATTTTGCAGTTGATTTTCTCTGCCGTGCGGTAATTTGATTAGCGTGTGCTCCAAGCCATTTTCGAGATACATTTTCCCGCAGCTGTAGTGGGGACTTCTGCGTTAACGGCTCATCGAAGACCAGCAAATCCGAAGCCGTAAATACCCAAATGGACAAACAGTTGCAACACGGAAAAAATTTTAATTTTCGAGAGTTTCCAGACCGGCGAAGCTCTCGAAATTAGGCCTGGTAGAGCGGGGGACAGCACAGTAAAAAATATTCCAATAAATGCTTACTTATGAGGCACAAGAACGGACACCATAATGGAAACAGTGGAAAGCTATCAGGAGAATATTTCTGCAGAATATTTCAATTAATTTTACAGGCAGCACTCGGACTCTCTCGAGCTGGTCAGTACCAAAGGGTACTGGGATATATGGTATTCTATATCTGTCTATATGTGTTCGTAACGGCCAGAGGAAAGGTATCGGACCCCAGCAATTGATAAGACAATTGCTTGGTCTCCAAAAGTGTCTGTCACGTAGACGGCTTTCAGCCCATCTAAGTCAATGGAAAAACATCAGCGAGAATCAATAGGCCAGGCACATATATTAAATCAGTTAAGTAATCAAGCAAACAATGTTTCTATGCGAGTGCCCACAACTGTGAGGCTTCGTTGGCGGTTGGCGCAGTAGCTGTGAAAGTAATATCCATTGATATTGATGGGAGCACAAACGAAATCCCAGGGCGATGGCGGGGCGAGGCACAGGCTAATCTAATTAATTTGGCAACTTATTAAGACGAGCTTCTGCTGCTGTTTTCGGATTCTCGTTTTCATTGTTTTCACATTCCAGAATAATAATATTATTATTATGTATATTATTATTATTATTATTATTATTAGTAATATTAATATAATAATGATTGCTCTTATTACAGCAGAATGAGTGGCAGTGGTAGCTCCAAAGGATTCTGTGTGATGCGATTAAATCGCACTTCCCCTTCCCCATCCCCTGTCCGAGCTACATATATTTTGCTCTTAAGGCTGTAATTGTTATTGTGGCGTATTACCCGAGCCAATTGTCCAGTTTTGTTTTTGTTTTGTGCTTCGTTCCGGAAGGGGCTCTCCGCCGTCGTCCGCCCTCCTTTGACCCTGGCATTCTGCAGTGCATCCCACGAGGCGCTAATTGAATTCACTGCCGCCGACCGACCGCGGCACTGCAGCACGAAATTGAGCAAAGCCTGCGAAGCACTCAAATAGGCTGGCTCAATACCCGATAGCAAAGAGCGTAACTGGAGCCTAGCCCCAGAGCCAATACTAACTAGTCGACGCATGTAATGGACTTGCAGATAGATCGATCCTCTGGCAGTCATATGTACATACATATGTGTGTTTGCGCTCTTCATGTAATATAAATAAATATATATGTACATATACTCGTAGCGAGTGTGTGGGCGTGTGGGAGAGTGCGAAGAAACTGACTTCAGGGAGTGAATAGAACAAGAGAGGATCGAAGTCCAGATGGGTATGGGTACACCACACACACACACATGCATACATAACATTAGTTGTTACCATTAGATATCCGATCACGGGAAGGTACAGACGTGGCTGTCAACTCAAGAGTTGGGAGATCCTCTTTTTGTGGCTTGCAAACGCCTGGCCAAAATTATGTTATTCTTTGTAAGGGTATATGTATGTATGTATGCATTTATGTATGTATGTATGTATGTATGTATACTCGTATCCAAGGAGACAGGAGCCCTGCCGCAACCGCAATAATAATCAGCTTTGTGTGCAGGATGTGCGAGCCATTTGGCTCGCTCCAGAGTGATGATGAGGCAATTTGTTTGGGCCAGTAATGCTGGATGGGACTGAGAACGGGGGCTGGGGGCTGGGGACTGGGCGGATTAGGTAACCAATTCGATTTGCAGTCATAATTTCCGGGGAGCGTAGACTCACTGTTCTCGTGGTCAGAACAGAGTTAAAACTGGGACTCAAGCTTTGAGTTATTCACGCTAAGCAGCACTCATTTCATTGGCCTTCAACTGAAGCAGGAGGAAGGAGGAGCAGAAGGGGCACGTGGTCCGGCAGCAATCCGATTTATGCGGACACAAGCAAGCACAGAAGCACCAGCAAACAGTTAGCGGGATAGGTAAAACTCGTACAGCAGGCAGGTTTCAGTTGGGTTTCGTTTCCGCGAGGAATACCCAGTA